AAGCAAAGGATATTCCAATTAAAAACTAAATGTAAAAGCCACCATTCATATTAATGCTTTAAGAACGCGTGAAGAACTCTTTTTACCAGTACCTCTATCCTTTTACATGAATACCCTATCTGAATAATTTGGAGACGAGGCTGAAGTTATTGAGAAGCAGAAAATGATGGAACTCATACAATCACGAAAATCATACCTAGCAGCCATGACAGGTATCCAAGGAGACAATTCGTCTGAATGATTTCCAATCAACCATTTAACATTCACTGGCAGTTTAAAAGAACTTGGCTGAAAGGCAAGTTCCTGAAGAAAAAGATTAAAAAGTATAGCGAGAACAAAACACAACCTGCAACATTACACCATGACCATACCAGTCCCAAATCTTTCGTTTCCGCAGATCAATTCCTGAGCCTTTGCACTGAAAATTAATATTAGAATCAATACGAATAGCCAATTAATTAAAAAAATTTTTACATACGTATAGCAAAGCTTTTTGCATGATATTTATTTGTTTTATATTTTATAAATTTTATGCTGCTAAGTTTTAGACTGCCTTTATTTTCAGATTATTACCTGAATTATCAACTAAGGCCAACTGAGAGAGTAAAAGAAGTACAAAACCACTGCAAGCATAATCGTCATTTCATATGTTCTGGCAAGGCCATTTACAAGTGATAAACTTACCATTTCACTTTTGGAGCTACACTCCAGTGCACTGAAGACAATAATTTTTCAAGAAATTCACTTAATCTATTCATTCATTTTCACTTCCTACTATTTCTGTGATGGAAACAACACCGTTAAGGGGCCTTTTCATTGGTTCCGGTTTATCGTCAATTGGACAAGCTCAGAGATCCAGATTCCAAGTCGCGAAAATGTCATATGTACAATGCGCCCGATCTTTCTGCCCGTTATTATGCCCTTTGGCTACCTGCCATATGGCCTTACGAACTGTTCATCATTCGAATTTATATTTTGGCATTTTGGTCACGTATATTGGTCCCCTATTTCTTTGCATGTAAAGTCGATGCTATACTGTCGCGCCAATAACCAATCAACTCACTATTTGTTGACGCTCAGTCTGACTTTCAGCGCCTGCTATTTTTATTTGCAAGAACTATTTTCACTAGTAAAACAATGTTCTAGAAGAAACATACAACAGCTCTACACAAACGTGACGGCGCCATATTAGTATTAATCTATTAGCAATATTTATTATCATAAGTGTCTGAAACATAACGAAAGCAACGTACGTTTTCCTGGCTCAAAATATAGACCAACAGACCGTTACCACAACCCAAATCCAAGAATTGCGATTGCTCTGAACATATTTCGCCTTCTTTATCCCAAAAGGCCTAAATTTTCCTTGAAAATCATATAAGGTAAAAACGCTATAACCACAAGCTACTAAAAGATATGCAGCAATTGCTAGGTCTTCGTATACGTATTTCTTCGGGTCAGTTTTTTCTGGCCATTCCTGAAAGTCATCTAGGATATTAACAAGAGCTGAATGAACGTTCAGTGAACAAAAATTTATGATTAGGTTTCATACGATGTCGACAGAAAGGCAACTTCGTGGAATTTTTGGCCATTCAGCTGCAATACTGGAATAGCATGGCTTGTTGAGATTTGGTCATAAATTTCGGCGGCGAAAATATTCCTCCACGATGTCAAGGCCACAATTTGGAACTCTCCATGTTGGCTCGAACTATTAGCAACTCGGGAGCACAGGGTTGCCAGTCAGGGCAGACAAATTCGTCGTGCATTCCAATCATGTGACTTGCATTCGTGTTGACCAAAGACAAGTGAACTGTTATGAAACCGATGCTGTGGTAGCTCATTTCTGCGAAAGCAAACTAGACTAAAAATCTATGCTTTTACCATTATTCAGCAAGCACCGTATCAAGAAGAAATAAAATCTTCTGTAATACGCTTTTACTCACTAGAGCACTAGCCAGTATTTCCTGGCGACGATAAAAACTTATTATTTCAATGAAAGTGACATCAGTTTTTAGTATTTTCTGAAATCCAGTTGCCATATTAGTTGAGAGCAAGTATCGACATTCAGTAGAATGGGTAATCCGACAGAGCATAAGTTGCATTAAAACCTTTATAACGTAGAAATCAGAAATACTGGTCTGAACCAGTCGGAAAGGTTGCGGCCTGTCAAGTTTCGGTAAACCAAAGATAGCAATTTACCGCCAGACTGAGAGAATCAAGCTGAAGGTGGAAATCTCTGTGAAACCAGAATTTCTAATAGACACAATCTCTACCAGCTGCTTTTGACATCTTCATTTCATTAACAATAAACTTAAAATCAGCGTCCATTTTGTTGAATGGTACCGAAAACACAGAAGTCCCTTAACCAGATGAATTATCAAAGTTTCTCTGAAACCCCTGACTCTATCATATCGAACTCACAACTTGTCATTCACAACTATTCAACGTTTAGCAAGTTCAAATAATGCTTTCAATGTCACCTAGAATATGAAGAAAGTTCACCAAGCTTGGACTATATATTTTCGGCGCAGCATGAAACAAACAGAATGACTAATCTGGATCAACTGGAAAAAATTCTTTATAAGTACTACAGTTGGGCTTGTGGTAAGTGAACGCCATTTAAATTAAGAAAACACAATAAACCATGGTTAATGACAAGAAAGAAAAAGAAGAGAAGAAAAACACATCATAAGAGAGTGAATGAGGAGACTCAGGAATAAAATGAAAGTGACGAAAACCTAAGCACATTTGAAAACATCATGAATTAAAAATTTCACTATTGCAAATATATCAGCTTAGCGCTTTTCAGACCAGCAGAAGATCCTCGCCAAATCTGCTGTAACAAATTTCATTCATTTTGTAACTACTTACTTTAACCAGCCGTTGGGCATATTTATTTTTAAGTCGGTCGTAAATCTGACTGTACGTTTCCAAATCCACTGCTTTTAAGGTAAGTTTTAAAGTTTGATCTGAAGAACATTTCTGAAGCCACTTAATAATGTTAGAGAAGAACTCTTCTTTCAACCACAAGCAAGTTTTCGAACGATCGCAACATTCAGGTTCTATGACACCAAGGATAATGCGACTTCTAGAAACGAGCATGAAGACTTAAAAACAGAAAAGCGGAAATGAAATTACGTTGATTCGTTAACTTCCTCCAAGTGCAGGCAATAAGGAAAAGACACATTGACGCACTTTTCTTTGCAATCGTGATGTTGAGGGAAAAAGAAGGCCGAGCATCCAGTTGTGTCTAAATTATCAACTCTATTCAAAAGGAAACTTATAATCGAACAAGGTACACTGTGGCTAATGTTGTCTGACACATTGCGATGATAATGAAGAAGGCATCAGCAGCCTAGAAAACAAGGGTGGTAATACAACTGTTCAAGAAAGGTGATTATGGAGGCAGACTACTTTACTGAACCTTCCGGGAAAAGTCTACGCAAAGGTGTTAAAAATAGGTGTCGCTGATTAACAGATTTTAAGATCTAAGAAGCGCAACTGAATTTCGTTTAGGCCAAGCACCTCTGACCAGTTCTTCGTCCTACACCAGAATGTGGAGAAATCTTGGTTGTTCGCTTATCCAAATAATGTGCTAAATTTACATGGAAAAAGCCTATTACCAACAAGCTATGGGTGTGCCTGCAGAAGTACGGGATCGATGTTCAGCTATTACGAGTCATCCAGCGATTATCTGCTGATAGCAGGTGATGTGCAAGAATAAATGTCGCCAGATCGAGATATCTCCGCTAAGGGTGTAATCTGTTTCCTTTCCTGTCGATATGACACATGGATGGGGCGGTGGGTCACGTGTCGCGCGATCCAGGGTATCGAGTTCATCGCAGCAGAGATTACTAGACGAGAATTTGCTCTTTGAAGACGACCTGTTTCACTGGCCTCACCTGAAACAATGTCTGACGTTTAAGGCTTCACGACTAAATAAGATAAGCGGTTATTGATGACTGATTAACATAGCATGATGCTTATAAAGCATAAATTCGTGGCAAATGTTACTCGTTGTTCAGAAAGATGAAAACAATGACAGAAACATATTTGAATCAGGTTTTAATTATTGAATTCTAAGTACTGGCTATGCAGGTGCTAAATAATGCATTTTTCTCTTCAATTTCTAATAACCTTCATCAGTCATCAATCTGTCTTTAGTTCAGCGTGCCCATTGGTCGTTATTTTCCATTCAAAGGATAGACAGCGTGCTAGAAACCTACAAACCACTTTATTAAAGAATCACTGCAAGCGCTGGCACTGCAATCTTTCAGCGTAACGAATCTACACAAAAGTTTCACATCGCCCTGTTGAGTGTCAGGAATCGTTGGCCTTTTGGTTCGGCATAACTTCGTGAATTACGTCAACTTCTAACAAAAATTAGAAAGATAAGAAATGAAGGAGTACCCCTGCAAAGAAGCTCCAACGACGAGTCAAAGAATTTTGTCGATTTTGGAATGAGTCTACGAAGTAGAGGCTCTGAATCATGACTCAAACTAGCGAACAGAGTCCGCTGTTGTTCGTCTAGAAATTCCACTGTCAGTGGCTTAACGTCCACCGTTCCGCGTACTCGGCAGTTGATGACGTATGGTTTCTGCCACCATATATCAACCACGTGAAACAAGTCTTCGATGGAAACCCGTCTGTCGACGACATCAATTTTTATAGTCGTAAAACTCTGCATTCTAAAATATGAAAGTTTATGTTACTTCCAAATAGTACAGAGAAAATCCGGTACTGTGTGTAAAAATGATCATATACAGATCACAGCACGCATAGACTGCAATTTCCAACTCAAAGGTAAAAAGTTTTTTCCTGATTTAAATCTACACTTTTCAGTAAGTCCACCAATAACAATGCTCCTCACAAATTTACTCTAACCTTCCCTGTCCCGGAAATCTGACAACAGCTTGAACAGCGATCACAACTTAGTTGATATGTGACGGAAGGTATTTTTTTCGTCTTGAAACTGTCGACTAACCAGGCAATGATAAGGAAATGCTAAGAAAGTAATTTATGCATTAAAGCAGATCTTTCTAGGAGAAGGATGTTACGACAAGAAATCAGGACGTAAGGGCTGGATTTCAGTGCCTGTTATTAATCGACAATGAAAGCACATTGAAAGCTTAAGCTCAAACCGCGTTTGTTGAGATCATCATCTTGACTCATCTGCTTATAGGGGAACGTCTACGTTTGATTATATGTGCTGTATTCGTAGAATTTCAAAACACTTTCGCTATAAGACTTCGGCTACTGTATCGCAGAAAGAAATATTCTTATCGTAATAATAAGTAGATTTTCGTCTACCTTGTTCCTCCTGCACATGTCCCATACTGACTTTTAAGTTTGTTTGGTCGACTCGACATCTGCCGTGTTTCGGCTCACACACGTGAAGCCTGCAGGCTTGAGTAAATAGATTCTGCTCAAACAAATTTCTCTAACAGGGTCAATCTTTTTTGTTAATCTTCACCTGCGCCCCGGAAAAAAAGAGTCATACCTACCGTGGTTCTGCAATTTAAACTTCGTTTTACGTTGAAACCGACGCTACTCTACACAGAATTACTTCTATATTATAAATAATAAACAACAAGCAAATTGTACTAAACAATCAATCATCATTATTATCGGTTAATCTGCCGTTTAAGAAAAAAGAAAGTTTATCACTGTTGGAAGGTTGGTCTTCTTTCACCTTAATGACTGGGCCATTCTGATGTCCTTATTGTCATGAAGTTGAGGGCTCGGTTCCGTATTGACTCAGCTGCTTTGCCATCAGCCAGGAGTGCCTTGTATTTTAAAAGGGAAAATCTACAGTCATGTAGCAAGCGAAACGTGTAGTCTCCAGCTTCCTTCCACAGAATGATACTGATTCATCAACCTCGGAAAGAAGGGCGAGTATCTCTGATCGGAGCTTGAACTCAAGACCTGTTGGTTCTGAGTTCGACGCTCAACCGACAGAGCAACCACGGTTTTAACCATATGTGGTAAATTTCTTGTTAAAGAGAATTTGTGAATATGACAAAGACTATCATCGAGCGAGATCAAGCACCGCACCTTCAAAATTTGAAGCAGACCTCACGTCCCATTTAGCCGTTTAACTGCTGCTCCATTTACTCTAGAATGACGATGACAAAACAATAGGTTTTAGTCAAATCGAATGTGTTAAGTTAAACAATTAAGAAAAAACTTAGATCTGTTTCACAAGATATCCTCCACAAAAACAAGTACATTACACGTCGAACAAACGTATGAAAATCGCTCAGTCACGTGCAGCGAATCCGTTCTAGGATTCAGTAGATAAAAGTAAAATATTCAAATCAGCTTTACCTGCAGATTGTTTTTCTGTAGAGGGGACTGTAGCGTGGATCTGTCAATTACGTAGTACGTTGCAGTGCTTGCAAGACGACTGCATATCATTAAGAGTGAAGTATAACCGATGCTCAAAAGAGCCGTAGCATGTTTAATCAGTCGAAACGTTCACTAAGGTAACATCTGAAGCCGTATATCGTAAATTCATTCTTGTTTCATTCTGTGCGTTTCTGATGGTTTTACTTTCTCGGCAATTTCGTAGCTTAACATCGTTAGGTCGTTGTTGTGCAGCGTTTTACTTTCATTAACATGGGCGAAACGTAATTTTTCACATCTCATTTTTGTCATTTAATGGATTTTAAAAACAAGTAGTTATTTTGTATGTTTACCCGAACATAATTTTTTGATCGCGCGTCGGTGATCATACTCAAAAACAACATTAAACGCAGTTTATTAATAAACAACGCAAAAATTAACATGGCCATTCGGATGACTGACCGATATTGCTGTTTCAGCCCGTGTATCATGCGCC